GGGATGATCCATCATGAAGACATAACCATAATAAACATCTACGCACCCAATGACAGGGCTCCAAAATACATAAAACAAACTTAACAGCACTGAAAATAGAAATTGGCAGTTCCACAGTAATAGTAGGAGACTTCAACACATCACTCTCAGTAAAGGACAGAACATCTAGAAACAAACTCCACAAAGATACAGAAGACCTAAAGGGGACAATCAGCCAACTTGACCTCATAAACATTTACAGAACACTCCACGCAACAGCTGCATAGTACACGCTCTTTTCCAATGCACATGAAACGTTCTGCAGAACAGACTACATCTTAGGCCACAGAGCAACCCTCAACAAAATCTAAAACAGAGATAATACAAAGTATCTTCTCTGATCACAACACCATCAAGGTACAAATTAACAACAGGAAGAGCAAGGAAAAACAACAACTACATGGAAACTAAGTAACATCATGCTTACAAACCACTGGGTAATAGAAGAAATCAGAGATGGAATCAAAAAATTCCAAAAAATACCAAAACCTTTGGGACACAGCAAAGGCAGTCCTCAGAGGACAATTTATAGCAATCGATGCACACATCAAAAAAGAAAAAAGGATGAAATCAAAACGTTAACTACACAACTTGAACAAATAAAAAGAGAATAGCAAAAAAAGCTCACAACCACTAGAAGAAAGGAAATAATAAACATGAGAGCAGAAATAAATGAAACAGAGAATAGAAAAACAATAGAAAGAATCAACAAAACCAAAAGTTGGTTCTTTGAAAGGATCAACAAATTGACAAACCACTGGCCAGACTGACAAAAGAAAAACAGGAGAGGACGCAAATAACCCAAATAAGAAATGAAATGGGGGACATTACAACAGACCCAACTGAAATAAAAAGGATCATAACAGAGTATTACAAAAAACTATAGTCTAACAAATTTGAAAACCTAGACGAAATGGATAAATTTCTAGAAACACTGCCTACCTAAACTAACATAAACTGATGTTGAAAATCTGAACAGACCCATAACAAGAAAAAAGATGGAAAAGGTAATTAAAAAAACTTCCAACAAAAAAAAAGCCCTGGCCCCGATGGCTTCACTAGAGAATTCTACCAAACATTCAGAGAAGAGCTTACACCAGTACTACTCAACCTATTTCAGAACATAGAAAAGGAAGCAACACTCCTGAAGTCATTCTATGAAGCCAGCATAACCCTGATACCAAAACCAGGCACAAACACCACAAAAAAGAGAAAATTACAGACCAATATCTCTCATGAATATAGATGTAAAAATTCTCAACAAAATTCTAGCCAACAGAATTCAGACATCATATCAAAAAAATAATATACTACGACCAAGTAGGATTCATACTAGGCACGCAAGGATGGCTCAACATTAGAAAATCAATCAACATAACCCACCACATAAATAAAAGGAAAGAAAAGAATCACAGGATCATCTCTATTTACGCAGAAAAGGCATTCGACGAAGTCCAACACCCATTCGTGATAAAAACTCTCAATAAAGAAGAGAAATTCCTCAATATAATAAAGAGCATCTATGCAAAACCAATGGCCAACATCATTCTTTTTTTTTCTCCATGAATAATGCAGAATATCATTTATTCTTTTACTTCAAAGTCACAGGGATAACGTCCATATGATAATTATAAAGCCTAATCTACATTTTCAAGTTCTCAATCCAAACGTATAGATCAGGACAGGTCACTATTGCTGGCAACATTCATGGAAGGGCCAGGTTCCTCATAAAAAAACAGTAAGTTTAACTGGGAGCTGGGCAGTGCCCTACTCACATCAGAAGAATTACACACGTCAAGCGGCAATCCTTTTCCCTTTAAAGCAGCAAAGGAACAATAGAAGATTGGCTGACTGGTGAGCAGCCACACGTTAGAGTGCATAGCTCAACAGGATCAAGGCTGGCATCTGTGAACAGCTAACTTCATAAGAACATTCAATGGGCATTATATCATCCACATTACAGATTTCACCCTGCAAAATATTTTATAAAAATACTTTGTGCTCAAATGACAGCCCGCAAACAACAGTATGCATTCCTTCTCCTTGAGTACCCAAGTATAAATTTAAAATGATAGGGGGCTTCCTCAGTCTGAAGGCAGGAATTCCACAGCAGAGTGTCTCCAGAATGTCACAAAAATAGATACAAGCGGCAGCTAACGCCTCCTCAGCTTCTTGGCCTTTCGACGTTTCATTTCTTCTTCTTCACGTCTCATTTCTTCTAAGTCCTCTTGCATACCTAGTCTTAAGCTCTTTGCTTCTTCCTTTTGCTGCTCTTTCCAACTACTCTCCATGTAACATAAGCCATAATCACTTTCATCTTTGTATTTTTTTCGGTCATAGCCAAAAATTTCTCGAATGTGCCTGGATATTTCTTCCTGAGGTTCTCCTTCATCTTCAATGAAATCTTCCATTTCTGAGTCGTATTCATCATCATCATCTTCCTCGTCATATTCTTGCTGCCTTTTGTAACCAGAAGAGAAGGGGAGCCTTTGAGGACCTTGGGCAGATCTGTAGCCAGATAGGGGAGGTTTCATTCCATTCATCTGTCCATTGGTGGGCCGGCTAATGATATTCTTGGAAGAAACTGTTTCTGAAACAACAGTGCACTTGGGCTTTATGGGGGCACCTGAGCTATTAACTGTTTGCCCAGGTCTCAAGCTGCTTACTGGTCTACTGATAGTCCTTCCAGCTGAAACTGAGCCACTTCCTGATCGCCCTGGGCCACTGACTGACCGGCTGGGGGGCCTGAACCACTTGCTGGTCGTCGGAGGTCACGTGGACTGCTCACAGGCCGCCCAGGGCTACTAGAGCTGCCCACAGGTCTCCCAGAACCACCTGAGCCACTGACGGGCTGCCCAGGGCCACCTGAGCTGCTTGTAGGTTGTCCAGGGCCACTTGCACCACTGACTGTCCGACTAGAGGGATTTGAGTCACCAGCTGGCCTCTTGGTCCCACTGGTTGATTGCTCAGGTCCTAAGCTGGAGCTGCCATCTTGGCGCTTGGACACAGAGCCAGAGCTAATGGTGGGCCGAGCAGTTCCTGTGCTGGGTCACCCACGGGCTGAGCTAGAGCTGCTGCCTGGCTGCCTGACACCTGGACTCTTCACCTTGTTGTTTGGGGTGACCGTGAGCCCAGGCCTGGAATTACTACGATGGGAAGGAGAATTTTTTGCTTTGTGCTCAGTAGCAGATTTCTGAGTCCTGCTGGCAGAAGTCTTTCGGACACTTGGTGAATAGGTGTTGGAACGGAGTTTTCCTGCCCCACTGAAAACAGGTCTGTCACACCCCTCACGAAGTGAGGGTTGGGAACAATTGCCAGATTCTGCCTTGGTCCTCTCTCCTGACATGGATTTAGATGAGGACAAAACTAAGTGCTTCTCACTGGCTGTGCTGGGTCTGGGTTTCTTCTCAGCATGAGGAAGGGGGATTCCCTTAGAAGAAGGAATCTTGTCCCCAGAAACTTTGCTAAGTTTCATGCCCACACTTTCTTTCTCAGAGGGTGCCTTTTTGGACACAGTTGGAGGTAGTCTTGCATCTGTCTCTGGTTTCTTTTTCCTATGCTTTTGTTCAAGGAATTCTCGCCCCCTAAGTTCTTCTGCAGTCATAGGCTGCTCTTCTGTTTTCTTCACTACCTTGATCTCTACTGGTTCATACTGCTTTTTCTCAGCCAGCCTGAGTAGATCAGTGAAGTTCATAGGTGGTGGGGCAATTTTAAGGGGGACCTTTGGTTTGCTTTCAACTTTGGGAGGTTCCTGCTCTTCCTCATACTCCTGCTCTGACTCTGCTTGATTGTATTAGAAGAATTCATCCTCTTCTTCCATCTCATACTCTTGGTCTGTTCTCTGGCTGGTGTGGCTTTCCATTGCCTGCCTCTTCTTTGACTTTACCTCAACAGGAATTCCATTGTAACCATGGAAATTATCCTTTGTCCTCTTAGCCATGGCTCTTGCTTTCTTGTCATGTTTTAGCTCAATTTGCTTTTTTAGTAGTTCTTCTTTTCTCCTTTTCTCCTCTAAGGTTTTTCGTCTGAGTTCCTCTTCTTTCCTTCTGAGAAAAGCTTGTACTGCTGCTGATCGGACACCCTTAACTTTTGGATCTTTTTTGGGAGGCCCCACTGCCAAACTGTACCTTTCCGGTTGTTTTGGCTCCCGCTGGACACTCCGTGAGGCTGCTTTCTCGTACCGTTTGCTGGTCTCCGATAGGAGTCCAAGACGGCGGATCCATGCTGCGTTAGCTGGTAGGGG